AAAAGGGAGGCTGACAGATGATATTTATAGGGTGGGTTTCAGCATGTTGAATGCTAAAGGGTTAATGGAAAATAGAATCTGGCTGATAATTTTTCTTTTAATTTGTAATGTACAACTAGATCTCCACACTTCACTATTTTGTCATTTATTCAGAAGAAAATATTGAATATCAAAAATATATCTGAACTTCCTTGTTTGGGGATCTGTAAACAAATTACAAAGTTAACATTTACAACTGGGTAGAGTTAAGTCATAAAATTACGGATATATTTTTTTAAATTCAGTAAACAGAAAAGATTGGAGGAAACTAATTAGATTATAATTTGTCTATTTAACTAAAGGATCAGCATTTTTTAGTACTTCATATTTAGAATTTGGCTTTTTCTGAAAACCAATTGACTTGGATAAAAAAATTAAAAATTACAAAGAACCTCAAAATAGAATCATGTTCTCTTTAAAAAGAAAGCAAAATCAGAAGTAAAAAAATACCATTGTAAGTTGAGCAAAGATAAATTTGAGTTTTAAAAATCTACAAAACTTAAAAAAACTCGATCAGCAGAAATTTATTAAGAAATAGAAGTTTTGAAAAAAAATTTCATTTCTGAGCAAGGAGAGTGCAATGACTTTATAATGTAATGTAAATTTAGTAGGCAAATAAAACTAATTTTTGTCTAAAGAACTGCTTTCGTAATTGTCCATTTTTCCTTTTAATGTAAGAAAAAATAATAAAAATAAACAAACACACACATGTATGAAATTTATAGTTTTTCTTTTACTGGCTGATCAGTGGAATAGATCAGCATTTTTCAATCTTTACTAAAAAGAATTTCATTGATAAATAATAATAAAAAAAAAAAAAAAAAAAAAAAAATCACAATTTAAAGAATTCTTATAATTCCAAGGAAACTTTATGATCACCATTTTATAAGCTGGTCAACTGAAGTAGTCTCATTTTACTTTGAGAATCACTTGCTTCTGTTTTAATCTAAACTCTGCTACAATAGGCAATATGGACTTGTCTACTCAATTCTTTTCCAGAAAGAGACATGAATTGTGAAAATTACATCTGTAAACATTTAATTTCAAAAGGAAGGTGAGAGAAGCTAAAAGAAACAAGTCTCTACAAACATTGGATAAACATTAATAGGGAAACACTGTAACAACAGCTATAGTTCTATCTTTTTCAAATTTATCTTGATAGACATGTTTTAGCAATAAAAATTTTGAATTTACAACTTAGAAAAAAGAAAAATCCACTGGCCAGAAACACAATCAGGATGATACAAGTAACATTTTAAAATGTAAATTCAATATTACATATTCATATAACAACAGAAATATTAAGATGAAAGTGATGAAATGGGGGAATTTGAGTGTAACACATGGGGAAATTTGATGAGGAACAAAACAATAACAAATGTTAAATGCAAATAAACAAACAAGTGCAAATATTTGAGGTTAACATTTAATCTTCCTTTTGCTAATTTCCAGCAAAAAGCAAACATTTTGCATTTATGAATGGGGTGGGATAAATATACAATAATGAACAGATTTTACATCTATGGATGCACAATTCAGAGAAAAATCCATTCACTTGAGAGTAAAGAGCGGGAATAAGAAATTTATGAAAACTAATTTACGGATTTATTTTTAATATTTATTAATCTTAGTCACAGAAGTTTAAACATGAAAATTTTTATTTTTATTTTTTTCAATGAAAAAGGGATTTTTTTTTGCAACACTCTTGAAAAGAAAAAAAAATTACAAAATACTTGAAAGATTCTAGATTCTCAATAGAAAAAATGAGAATCTGTAAACCAATAAGTGAGATTGGCTCATTTGGCAGCAGATCCGAAATAATTTTCTCATAAAATAAAGCAAATATCAGCGGAGAAGAATGACAAGAAAACTTAATGGAATGTGATTTTGGCAGTGATGCGAGATTCCCAGTGTTTCAAAGGAGCCAGAAGCTTCTGGAGGATATAAAATGAAGAATAGGAAGGGTGTTCAAATTGACCAGGAATTATGATGACTCATTTTTCTTCAGCAAGAGAAAAAAAAAATTATAATTCAGAAAATTTGGGTTAACCAGTGGCAACTATTAATGACAGGGGGAGTGGTATGGAAGACAAGAAGAATGAAAAAGTTCTCACAATTTTCTCTTCATGATTAAAAATATTTAGAAACTTTACTCTTGCTTTTTAATTCATAAATTGAAAAGTTCCAGACCTTGTTCTACAGTAAAAACCAGGGAGTGCTGCCATAGTGATTATGTTGTAAGATCAAGCCTAAATATCTCCTGTTGAAAACCTGAACTGAAGAATTTGGAAGAATAAAGAGACAAGCAAATGACAATGTTAGCAACAATAAACACTCTCTTCAAGACATAAAAATACAGTAAAGAAAACAAAACAATTATAATTCTTCGCATTATTTTTGCTTAGAATAAAGGAATGATTAAAAAATACTTCCAAATAAAAAAAAAAAAAAAAATCTTTGAAGACATTACTTATGGTTACTCACACTTTAAAAAAAACAAATAAAACCAATTACTAAGCCATTTGCTTATTAACAAAGCTGTGTCTCCAATTACTGAAACAAATATACATCCCAAACTCTATGATGAGATCCAATGCTAGATGGAGGCAATTCTATCCAAAAGAGCATTACCTAGTTTTATTTCTTTTCCTTAGAAGAGAATTCTTTGATGCAAAATTTAAAATATCTAAGGACCCTCAAAATCCATTTGGTGGGTGGGTAAGAAGAGCCTGTAATGAAATTATGTAAGCAGATTATTGATATATTATAAGAGTAATTTTTTTTTTTTTTTTTTTTTTAAATATGACTGCAATAATTAAAAGATTTTCTTTCACTGTTATTAGTAAACTGTTTTTGTTATCTAATCATTTCTTTTTTCTGTGGAAACAAAAAGAAAAAGTTAAAAATAAAAATGGAAAGTTCTTAGTTATTCTCCATATTGAAAGAAAGAAAAAAAAAAAAAAAAAAAAAAAAAAAAAAAAAAAAAGAAGAAAAAACTCAATTTAAGAAAATTTTCTCCTGGAAACATTCAAGATAATTTCCAAGCATTATTTGGACAAATAAACTCCTCTATGTTGTTGCCACAAGGTTTTGGCTGATCCATTCTTCAGCTAGTAGAATTCAAAAGAAAAGTAATGTCTGAAAAATGGATATTTGGAAACATGGTAACAACACAAAAGAGCAATTCAATAGTCTGAAAACTTCTTGGAATGCTAACAATTTCTCAAAGTTATAGAAAATCTCGAACATTGGTTAAATGCTTAAATCAGCCATTTTGCAATGTTGCCTTTTGCTGGGATTTTAATTGATCATTCCACCATAAAGATAGATGAGCAAACATACAAAATGAAAATTAACAAAGTTCTTACTGCAGACATAAAAGAGACTTTGTTGTCGGCTATTCATTGTTTTCCCCAAACAGTAAACTTAGTAAAGACTAACTTATTGATAGTCACTTAAAATGTGGATATAAATAGTTTCAATTGTAAGTTGTTAACAATGAAAAAGATAAGTAACAGATGAAATAAAGCAAGACTAGTAAAGAAAGTTCCTTATTAACAATATTAGTTTTGTTTTCAATGGTACAGACATACCCTTATCTAGCTTAATCCAAACATCATACTAAATTGGACACAAGAGGAGTCATCATTTTGTAAATTCATCAAAACTGAAAATATTTACCACATATTTTGTGATTTCAAGTGCAAAAACATCAAAAAGCAGCAGCATATATCACAGCCCACATGAATAGTTGCAAACTGTAACAATTCTTGCTACATACTGGACATATTAATATCACATCGCACATGAAATGAGAACCTTAAAGACCATTACATTGGTTGATGTAACAATTATTTTAAAATGCAAGGGATGTCTCTCAAAAATATCAGAGAGATGTCAAAAATGGAATTTGACACATTAATATTCTACTAAAAGTGAAGGAAGGGAAAGCAAAGACATTTTGCACTAAATATTTTCTGTGTATGTTCTGTTATAAGTCATATTACGATGCATGGTATGTTGCCAATAAAATGCTCACCACATCATCCTCTCACACCTCGAAAGGTGGATATTATAATTATAAACTGTGACGTGTTGAAACTGTTTAAAAGCAGTACGTGTTAAACTAGAATTGGAGACATCTGGCCTTTATGTTAAATAAGTTTGTAAAAAAATATTTGGAAAATTTCATAATAAACTTTAGTTAACATTTTTTTTCTATATTGCCACACACAGAAAGACAGAGAGACAAATAAATAAAACATTAGCATACTTCACAAGACAATGCCAATACAAAGGATCTGTAAATGTATAAGAAGCAAATAGCATTTTTAAAAATTACCTTTTCTCAAATTTTCATAAGATACCTGAATTTTCTAGGGATGTTCTACTTTAAACACAATGTGGCTTTTTGGACCCTCACCCTGCTATATTGGGGCCTGTCTGTACAGAATTCAAACAAACTTTTTCTTAGGACATAACTTATTTAGAGTTTCTTTATGCAAGAAATAAACAAAATGAAAAAAAATTAAAAATCTTTCATTTATGAAAAAGAAAGGAAGAAAATAAATTTTCCTTCTTTTAACAGAGAAGCCTTTTTTTTTTTTCTTTTTTTTTTTAAAGAAAGCAATCAGCCTGTCTCGAATAATTATGCAGAAAGTTAAGAATGAAGACATTGATAGAAAAAATATAGCAGAGAGTATAATTAAAAAAGATGCAAAAAAGAAAAATATATTGAGTCCTTTGGAAACAAATATAAAAATATCTTAAGAGTAGTGGAAAAATACAATTCAACATCATTTTAGTTCAAAATGTAAGCAATTTTTTTTTTTTTTTACCCATGAAATAACATATCTAGAAATATAAATGGGAGTGCTAATATAAATCACTATTTGCCTATTTTTGTCGTCAATGTCTTTAATTATACGAAGTCAGGAAAAGGTGGAAGTAGAAAAGAGTCGTTAGTCTTCAAACTTTCTTTTCAGTGGACCTACAAAATAAAAAGCGAGGTTAGTCTTTAGTAAAGAATAACAGATAAATAATAAAGTCAATTAAACAGGAAATCTGTTAAATCATTGAACAAGACAGACAAAAAAAAAAAAAACAAAAAAAAAACAACAAACTATTTTTATTTTCATCAAGGCTAAAATGCATGCAGACGAAATGGAAAGAGGAGAGCATGCAAATTCACTTTGAAATGCTGAGAGAGAATTATCTTTTACAAAGAGATTCAGAAAAATTATTATATAATCTGTGGAAAAACAAAAATTAATATGACCTCAAGTAGTAACAAGAAAAGATGAACAAAAATCTTTTCGGCATTGTTAAGCAAATGTGCTTGTGTCAGTTGAAAATTTGATTTTTCACTAAACATACTGGAAGTATCAGATTCTTTTTACTAACCTTTCAAAATGTCTGACAAAGAAATGACTAGTGTATCCACACCAGTGGGGTGGGAGAGAGAGAGAGAAAAAAAAAAAAAAAGGAAGCAAAAAGATGACAATATTTAAATAATTTTGCAATTTCCTGCATGAGTAATATTGGATTTTCATATATAAAATTGACTGCATATAAAATACAGCATATAGAAATGTATTAGCAACCTGATCTTTATTAATGCGATATTCCATTGTTATATTAACAGTGTGTTCACTTATTGACATCAAATAATGATTCTTATTCATATAACAGAATATCTCATTCTCAAGAAGAGATCAGGCTGCATGACTAATAAATATATAATATTGTTTTATTTTATGTTATATACTAGAGGATTACAATATTCAAATGAACAAAGCCACTTTCAATCTTCCCAACTAACAATTTTCGTTTATCATCTTTGCTTATTACAAAGAAGAGCGAGAGAGTTGGAAATTCCATGCTAATGACAGAGCCAAATTTAAAGCCAGGATTTCAAATGCTGATTTTTAAGGCAAGCAGACCCTCCACATACTTGAGAAATTACTGCAATAAAATCTTGCTGCTCTTCAGTTTTCTCCTTCATATGGCCTTGTGCCAGACTCAATGCCAAGCTGAGTAAATATCAGATACCAACAGTAGAAAGCAGAAAAGAAAATTTCTTACCTGTACATGTTGACCTCTGACCATTCATCTGAGACATTCGAGCCCTGTAAATAGGTTCAAATTCCTTGAAGAAAAAAAAAAAAAAAAAAAAAAAAGAGAAAATTTAGGATGATCAAACATCCAGGTTCATTAGCTAAATTCTTGATTAATTCATTGGTATACATGTTTTTTGTTTTTTTATACAAGATTAAAAAATATTTTCATACACATTTCTTGAAGGATACTTTAGCAAATATTTACATTAGACGCAATAGTCTCAAGCATTAATTTGAGACTAATATTTCTTTCTTCCTATTTCTGTTCCTTTTATAACAAGATCCTTGGCATTTTATGTTCCAGAAGCAAGAAATGGAAATAAATAAGCTTCTAACTCACATTCTTCATACTTGAGAGCTTATCTTACCATAACAGCACCTTACCAATCAGGCTACAAAAAATTAGGTAATAAGTATCATTCAAAGCTATTTTTACTAGTATTTCTTTCATCTTATTTGTTTTTATCAAAAATCAAGTCTTTTTTTACATTAATTCTACAACTTCAGTCTAACAATCTAAGAGTCTTGATAACTAAAAAAGAAAAAAAAAAGAAAAGAAGACTAGTCAAAAATTATTAATACTAGATGTTCTTTATACAATGGCCTAGTGGGTAAAAGCATTTGTTTTTGAATATGGTGACAGTGGTTGTCAGTTTAATTTCTAGTTTGTGTAGTTTGTACTCACATTCAGTGGAAATGAGCAAGCAATAACTGAACAGTACTAAATAAAAATAAGAACTGGATGTGAACAGTCAACATAGATTAAATAAAGTTTGGAAGTTAATTGATATATACCTGAAGAATGGCCAAAATATTGTGATCAAGACAACAAAGATTAAGACAATAGTCCTAATATAACTATTGTAAATAGTATTTATTTACACTATTTACATTGTTATTCTCATCTTCGTTGCTATATTCACTATGTTTCGGCCTTTGTACACACCAGCCTTCATTAGGTGATTGAAATTTCAAATTGAACCCTTTATTTTGTCCACCAGGGTAGATTGTTCTGGATGCTTCAGTATCAGTTATCTCCTTTTAACTCAATGCCTCAAGTTTTTGTTCACCCCAGCTGTAGCCAGGTATCGAACTCACAATTCTTTGAATCATGTCACTGGATTCAACCAATGCTTCTATCCACTGGGCTATCCTTAGGGATAAAATAAAGGGCTCGGTTTGAAATTCTGACATATATCACCAGAAGAGCCATGTGTGAAATATAGACAGATAAATAGTATTTGTTGCCCATATCGCATTGAAACACTGATTCTTGTACAATCACCAAAATTAAGCAACATTGAGCATGGTTAGTACCTAAATGGGTGACTGCTTGGGAATACCAGGTGTTGTAAGCTTGGATGTGTGGATGATGAAATGGATAAAAGCTCAGTTGGGTTCATTATATCCATTTAAACACAAATACCCTTTGGAAAGGTATGAATCCACCATATATCTATCTATATTTCTGAGGTATTATGGACACTATTTACATTATTTGGACTATTGTACTCATCTTTGTTGCCATATTTATCTCAACATTTCAGGTGGTTGGAATGTTGAACTGAACCCTTTATGGCATGTGGTCTACTCTGAGGTGTTGAACTGAACCCTTTATGGGGTGGTCTACTCCACCGCCTTAATTATTGAACTCACACTCTTTGGGTCCTGGCACTGGATCTAACTAATGCCTTTATCCACTGTGCCATGTGTCCTTGAGGACATCTGTGTATGAATTTCTGGGTATTATAAACCTAATGTCATCAGCATTCATTTTTACCAGTGCTCATATTGCAAATTATTTGCTGTTATCATTACATTTTTTTTTTTTTTTTTTTTTTTTTATCAGAGCTCATATTGCAATTTTCGTTGTTATTATTGCTTTTCTCTGGCACTCCTTATTACTGGTTCCCATATTGTATTCATTTTTATGCTTGGTTGGCTCAGGAGATTTTTGCAGCCTAGCATATGTGTTGATTTCTTAAGTTTACGAATTTTCCCATCATGTTCTTTGTCTATGATTTCAACCAGATCCCACAGACAACGGTGATCTCCCTTTTCTCTCCATATGTGGTCAGCCACACCTGATTTTTCCACTTTCCCTCATGTTACAGCTTTCTGGTGTTCTTGAAACCTTAAGGGGGTGGCCTGTCTCCCCTTTATATTTCTTTCAGCAGCTGCACAGGATGGCGTACACACAGTCTTTAGTTATGTTCTCCTCTATGGGGTGTCTTACTTGGGAGAGATATCTGCAAAATGTCATCCAGCTTTTGAAGGTTGTTCCGATTATGGATAAGGCGGTGGAGAACTTTGAGCAGAGAATTAACAGGAGATAACTGATATCAATTAAACATGGCATATGAAACTAGAACAGTCTACCCCAGTGAACGAAATAAAGGGTTCAGTTCAACATTCCAACCACCTGAAGAAGGCCAGAGTGTACAACGGCCAAAACGTTGTGATAAATATGGCAACAAAGATGAAGACAATAGTCCGAATAATGTAAATAATGAATCCACCTCTTCTCCCTCTTAGTGTGACTTGTATCATTAAATCATTATCTCCAAACTTACAATGTTTTCTGGCTTTAAATAACCTGCAAAAAATTTTCTGGCTTTAAATAACCTGCAAAAGGTTGATAAGCTGTAAAAATCAAATCAATCAATTCCCTCCCAATGTTTAAAATTGACCATATAAACAATGTTAACAATATATATAATAATAATAAAATAAAACAAATTCAATCAAACCTATTGAAATACATATAATTGTATAATTCAACATATGTCAAATCAAGCAGAGCTCAATAGATAACTAGAGTGATGATAAACATTAATAAATCAAAGAAGGTTCAAATAGGACAGACTTCTTAGTTTTGTAGAGATGCTGCTCATCAGAGTCAGATAAAATGATATCGTAAGCAGATTTTAGATTTATATATTAAATTTAGAATATTAAATTTTCAAATTTGAATTTTTGGTATATGAAAAAGGGCTAATCACATTTCAATACTCAAAATCTGCACAACATGATAATGTTGAATTTAAACATTTTTTTTCTTACTAAATATCAGAACACAGAGGCTGTGTCTGTGATCAACTCTCCCATCGATTTCAATGTATAAGGACCCAACAATCTCATTCAGTTTTTATGTTTGTGTTGTAACACTTCAGTCCAGCTATTGACCTGCATACATGTCCACATATTGTACAACAGCGAGGATCTCGGAACATAGCCACAGGAATATTTGCTGATGCGTTTTGCCGTTGTCTTTCCCCTGAGAGATATATATATATATATAAAAAAACACACAAAACTTCTCCATTATATTTAGTAAGTCAGGCATTAAAAAGAGGAAAAATAAACATCAAACATTTAAATTCAACATTGTCCCATGCCAATTTTGATTATTGGAATGTTGTCAGGTAATTGACATTTTTTTCATTTGGAAATTTATTTAGCATTCCTAATAGATCATTTGAACATTCACACAATATGTGTGTGTGTGTGTGTGTGTGTGTGTGTGTGTACAATAATCAGCAATTGAAAAAATACTTGTACAATCATGAAACTACTAAGTTATTTTGTATAAACACTGCTGACTGAAGTGTATCAATTTCATTAATTACCAATAAAAGTAACTGTTTTTAATAGCAATCTACTAGCTCCTTGTAAAGATCAGCAATAAAAGTAATTAGTAACAAAATGAAATATTAAATCTATTTAAAAACATTTAATTTCTTTAATAAAAACTTGTAAAGAATTTAAATTTTCTATGGAAAAACATTTCTTAATTTGCATCAGAACATTCAAAATAAGTAAACACTGTTATTAATTGCACATTTTAGATTACAAAACAAAATGCACAGGTGAATAAAATAAACAGTTGTTTGATTAAATGCTACTTACTATGAGTTGTCGGACAAAGCCTTCATTTGGATTAATACAAAACCGCTTTAATTGCACATGTGAAGAAGCTTGTCTGCAAAAAAAAAAAAAAAAAAAAATGTTGGCCATAAGCAAAAAACATTTGAATTAAGAAACAAGAATTATGTATAATATTTATCTACAATTAGCTAAGAGAGAGGGTTAATTTACAATATCAGTGATAAGGAAAATTATTACAGAAGTCTAACTCTTGTTTCTTGAGTGATTAACTAGTATTAACAGTTGCACAAATTAACTAAAGTATAAAATAATTTTGGTATGACAACCATCCCAAATATAACAAATACTTGAATGATAATTAAAAACTTAAATTGACAGACTTAATTCCCTAAACTGACAAAAGCTGATCTTTATCAGCAAAGAAAAAAAAAAAAAAAAAAAAGTTAAAATGTTGTCTTTTGGCAAAATTTACATTTAAAAACTGATTCCCATGAGGGGGGAAATCTTATGTGAAATTTGCATGACCAAATGAAACAAGAGAAAGGTTTGGTTCAGTTTGTTTAACAACATATCAACTCCTTATGGGTCATTTAATGTTGATAGTTTATTTTCTCGAGAGTTTAGCTAATTTTGTTTAAAAAAATGTATGTAATTTTTCTCTTCCTTTTGAAATGTATTACTGGTAGTTTTTTTTATACTATCAAAATGTATTGCTGGTATCCTTACTACAAAAATGTATTTTTATACTTTCATAATATTTTTACCCTAGTTTGGGGGTTCACTATTTGCTCATAGCTGGGACCCTTCAAGTGCTAGCACCCCAGGTCAGGACGAACCTGAGAACAGTAGCAATTAAGATAAGAGAGAGAAGATTGTTATTATAGAAGTTAGAATACAAAAATCTGATAACATTATTTTACTAAGGAAACTAAATGGAGATTTTGTCCTCATTGTCATGGTTTTATTCTAGTTGAGTGTGTGAATTTAAACAATTGCTGTTGGTTAACTCTAAACATTTCTTATAAAAAGAAAGCCAGGTAGTTAATGAAAAAATGGCTTGAATAAATTTGATGTGTAAAACCTTGTATATGTGAGGCTCATCAGATTTGATGTTGTAAATGCCACCAAAATGAAACCTAATGGTTTATGAAAAAGATATTTGTAAAGTAAATTACAGATATAAAGTATCAAATTTCTGTTTCAACTGGGAGTTGATCCATGGCTATTTAAGAAGTCTACCCAGGCAAATGGCTAAGGGTTTTGGCATTCACAAGGTTCACTACTATGATGATGAAATGGAAGAACAACAAAAAACTAAAAGCTGACTATGCCACTGACAACAAAAAGGATATAACAAAAGTATAAAGAAAAACTAAAAGCTAACAATGAGCAAGAAGAAAGAAAACTAAAGATTAACAAAATTAGAGGTATTAATCCAGATTTCGAACTTTTATATAAAAACAAGATTTATCTCAATATTGTAATTCATTTTAAAAACTATTATTTAAATTACCTAGCAATACTTGTGAATCTGCCGTCTGTCTCAAAGAATTTTGACTGTTGACTGTATGAAATTAAGTTAAAAAACAAAACAAAAACAAAGTAATTGTTTTTACCTTTTATGAGTCTAACATGTTAGTTTTAGAACTGTAAGGTGACAAAAAGAAAATCTTGTGCAAACTTGTATTGTTTTTTTTTTTATCATTTAATAAATCTAAATTTCTTTTCAATTTCACATCTGAGTAGAAATCTTATTTTTGTTTGAACCTTTCACAATACTTGAGATGTAACACTTTCTCTTCTGATAATAATCATTTTGTAACCATTTTTAAATAACAATGCTGTAATAACCTCACTTCAGCACTGATATCACAAATTACTCCCCCCCCACATCTATGCATATACATGATGGTAGTCTCAAATGCTATTTCCTAGTATATCAATGGATATACAACACATAGATACAGTTACATACATCAGTTAATGCATGTAACTTGAGTACATATATTATAATTCATCCCCTTATAATCAACTATCTATAGACAGTTTACATAATGAATAATTTTTAACAATTACTTGAATTAGTGATTCTTAAACAGGAAGTACTTGGCTCCCAGGGGAGGAATTTCAAAACTAAGGGAATGGGAGTTAACCATTTCAGATATTTCAGTCATATGTGGAAATCAAATATAAATAGTAAAAAAAAAAACAAAACAACCCTACTAAATGCCAATTCAAAATGGTGGAAAAATAAGGAAAACCTGAGATAACAAAGGAATATAAGAATCACTGTATTAGGTGAACATATCAGTTACTTAAGGAGATAAAGAACACAAAACTAACCTGTAAGATAAACCATATCTTTCCATTATAAATGCAATCACCATTGCTGCACTGAAATAAAGGATGAACAAAGAAAAAGTTAAAAAAAAGACTAAATAAAATGTTCAATATCTTTAAAAATTAAACAATTTCAAATATATTTTAAAATCTTAGAATTTACTTTATTAATTTTTGTTAAAATTTTTTTATCAAATGATACCAATTGCTTTATTTCATTTTCATAATTTGATTTCTAATATGCAGAAAATTTCATCAAATAGTATTACATTTTAGCTAAAAAATTTAATTTTTTTGACTCTTTGCTGAAATTGAATAATTAATAATAGAACTTGTGTGTGTGTGTGTGTGTGTGTGTGTGTGTGTGTGTGTATATATATATATATATATATATATATACCTCCAAAGATTTTCTAAAAAAGAGCATACCATGATAAAAAAAAGCCTCAAACTTGATAAAAAATAAAGTTTTATCAAAATGTTTGTCATTATTAAGAGGAAAGACCAAAGTACTTCTTGATTATTTTATTAAATTTTTTAATCCTTTCTAGCATGTTTGAAATTTTGGTTAAAAATCTTGTTTTTCTTGCAGTGGTGGTGGGCCAAAGTAGGTTGTCATTAAAACACATTGTTTTGGAAATTCTTGCAGAAATCAAATAATTGTCAGATTTTGATTAAATTTTCAGGACTTATTCCCAAATGAATGGAATTATTTTTTTTATTTTTTTTTACATCTGTTACACTCCACTTAATTTTATGAAATTGCAAGAAATTACAATTTCCGAATTTTCATATTTATATTAGTAAAAAACAGGACTCCTTGGAGAATTTAAATCATCATTTTGTTTTTGTCAAACAAACACCATTTACTGAAAACGTGCTCCGAATCGTAAAATAAAGAATGCAATACAACTGACATTAATTAGAAAAAAGTTTTTAATTGCTTTTATAAATAAGATATATTAAGGACACAACTGTCTTAAAAAGAAAACAAAAAATTTAATGAATTTAATGAATTTTTACAAGAATTGTTTCATTTTTAAAAAATTTTAATTAGAAAAGTTTATTAATTTTTAAAATTCTGTATTAATTTCAGCCTTTTAGACTATATTATTAAGCAAAAACTATATTTACTAACCATAAATAGAAAAGCTTAATACAAATTATCAAACATCAATATTTCTAAAAGAATTTTGAAGTTTTTTATTTGTGCATAAATGTGCTGATATTTGTAAGTATGGTGCCCATACACAACATCAGAAAATAAGAGTGAAAACTATGGTAAATAGAAAGTCAACATTCTAAAATTCAATAAAACATTAGATTACAGAGAATATTTCCCTAAATTTTTAAGATTACTGAGTACTTAAATATATATAAAAAGGCACTAGTCATTTTCTTCAATTATGTTTTACAGATAAAGTCTCCATAGAACAACATTAGACCTGTCATCAGGCTTGTCAAGATAGCTACTGTCAGGTTAAAAATGCATTTCTGCAATATTTTAAACTTAAAATAAATAATATTTGTTTCAAATCAGATTAATTATACTTTAAATCAGCTAATATTTCTCAAATAAAATTTCAGAGAACTGTATTATTTTATTTTTGGAAGATTTTTAATAAAGAGAATTACATTGTGACAAAAGATGACTAAAAAAGGGTGCAAATCAGTTATTTAAAAAAACTTAAAAAAAAAAAAAACAAAAAAAAAACAATACCCCCCACCACCACCAAAAAAAACCTTTCACTCAAATTAATTTTTGAAATACAGTAAAGTATTTTGATTATTGGAAATATTAAATTTAATCTATTAGCTTGAAATAAAAAATAAAAGCTTCAGGAAAGATTTTTCATAATTCATTTTAAACCTTAGATATTGCGTTTTGGTGGAGGTCTTGTGTGTGTGTGTGTGTGTGTGTGTGTGTGTGTGTGTGTGTGTGTGTGTGTGTGTGTGTGTGTGTGTGTGTAAAACATAGAAAACCATTTAGAAAAATTTGACATGTTACTGATCAAACAGCATCTCATCAAAAAAACAGATTTTATTTCAACCAAATATAAAATGAAATGGTGAGACATGATTTGCATTAGTAAAATGAATGCAAGATTTTTTTTGTTTTTACTTTAACTGCATCACTTTTAAAATTACATTTTTACTAATTTGTTATTGATAAGAGTTTTTGAAATTATATATTTACCACCCTGTCAGATTCTCATTCAAATGCTATGTGTGTTATATCTCTCTTATATACACAAGTTATACTTAAAATACTTACCTTCTGGAAATACCAGCATTACCATGTACCAAGGCTCGGCCTCCAAAAAAAAAAAACAGTTGTCAAGAAATTCTTTTACCTTAAAGTTATCAAAACAAAAAGCAAACAATGAGATGATGATAATCCAAATCTCATTCATATGGCTTTCAAATTAACTTCAAATATGGTGTCATCTGTACTAAGGGAATTTTAGCAAGGTTTCTTCATGAATGTTTCAATATTTATAACTAGTACCAAACTGGACAAATCCGTCAAAATTTATCCCCTCCTCACTGTCATGTCAAGAGTGACAATGGAGGTAACAGCTTTTTACTGCAACTGAGTAGATAATGTAGTCATGACACATCCACACTTTTTCTTTGCCAACATTGTCGTAAGCCAGTGACTAAATTGTTCTTTCAGGATGTAAGCAATTAATGCTTTTTTTATAGATTCATTTTCTTTAATACCTGTGAATTACCATGACCTCTTGGGAAAGATAATGAGGTGATTTTCCGTTGCCTTCTCAGTGGGTTTGAATTCAGAGTTTTCCTTCTTTTAGACAAGGTTTCCACTCAAAGCTAGAGAGTTTAGTTTATGCATTGCTAGATAACACTTACTCTACCTGCACAAATGTTTTATACAAAGACAAGAAAGGCAAAAACTGAAGATAACTAGCCTTAGGCAGAAGTCAAACTGTTTGCCAATTGAAAAGCACTTTGTACACTTCTATATTTAAAAAAAATGTCATAACATGTCAGCTTCTTCATACTTTTTATTTATTTTTATTTCAGAACTTCTATTAACACAAGGAAATTACCCATGGAAAAATTCACAACTTAATAAAGAACTAAAATTATGGAATTTTATTTTGAATTTCATCAACCCGTCTAATTTTGTGAAGTGACAAAATTTTATGGTCACCATGTTCTGATATCACACCTACGGGTTATTTTTTGGTTGTGGGTGAGAATACTTTTAGGAGTGTTTACAGATTGCAGACAATTCAGCAACTCAAGGATAACATCTGTGTGGAAATTTGATGGCTGTAGCCAGAGTTATTAACCACTGTTACAGAGAATGTTATTAGAATAGTGCATCTGTATGAAGTAAAAAAAAAAAAAAAAAAAAAAAAAAAAGAGAAGGAGGATATTTATGTTGTATATTGTTTCATAATTAAATGGAAATATATTTCCAATATTTGAACTTTCATTCTGCAAAAAAATATTTTTGAATAATAAAAACAAAATGTTGAAATTACTAGATTTTTAAATCCCTAGGTGACTTCTGGGACACCCTGTAGCTCTGATGGCACTCAACACATTCTGTACAAATGTTGTTTAATGGTTTGCTTCTTTTTTTTTTTTTTACATGTATTGACTGACAATAATATATTGCTGTAAAGCAGGTTTGGTTTGGTTTATTTTGTTTTATAGCATCTCAGCCTCAATAGGTTATTTAATGCCAACAAGATTTTTAGGATAGGTTTGAATGAATAGAATATGTATTCTTTGTAAGAAATCAATTTGTGCATCAGGTTTCAATGACATTTTTGTAAAGATGGGTTTTGTCAACAGTTAAATGTATTGCTGGGAATAAGTTTTTTTTTTCTTTCTTCAAAAATGTATTGCTGGTATTTTTACTATAAAAACTTATTTTTACACTCTCATAGTGTTTTCACCCCAGTTTGGGGGTTAACCATTTGCCCATAGCTGGGACCCTAACAGGTGCTACCACTCCGGGTTAGGGTGAACCTGGGAACAACAGCAATTAAGAGGTTGTTCCACATTCCCCAAAACCTCTTGATTAGAGGCTTTGCTGTTGGATGTAGTTTATCATCATACCCAGGATGTGCAAAGCAGGTATTAGTCACAACAGAAAAAAATGAAGACAAAAGACAATCTAAAAAGGGGGACATTAATTAATGTAACCTGGTGCTTAACAGGTAGAGTAGCAAAAAAATTATTATTATTCTTTGGTGCTGAACATCGTCACTAGTTCATAAAGGATTTCAGCTAATCTTCTGGAGATCAATAGATTTAATGATCTAAAACAGAAAAATTAAAGAACTTTGTCATGAAGTTCATGAGGCAGTAGTAGATATTTAAGAAGCTTAGCTTAGTTTGATACAAGGTCTCAGTAGTGGAGCACTTAGAATCAAACTCACTTTAATAACTAACTGGTCTGTGGGGTAAGGTTACCTGACCAGGGTTTTTCAAACTGTGGGTCATGAGATAAATAAAATGGGCCATGACAAAAAAAAAAAAAAAAAAAAAATACACAAGTGACAACAAAGTCATGAATCATTGCTATTTTTCACCAAGGTAAGCACATATTCGATTTTTACACACATATTCCCATTGGGTTTATGCATCATGTTTGTCAAACTCTTTGCAGATTATTTACTTTGTGCCGGAATTTCCTTTAAATTTGTTTTTCTAAAAGTAATAATTTTATATTCATACAAATTGATAATACAAATAAATACATGCAAATCCAATATGTACGCATCATAAGAAATATGCTTATAAATTGTTGATGCAAAATAAATGAACCTAGTGAACAGAGTTTGTCTGATTTATTACACGTAGGTATAATGGGGGTCACAATGCAAAATGTAATTCTTGCAGTGGGTCTCAGCAAAAAAGTTTGAAAAATGCTGTACGAGACAATCTGCTTTGGCACACTTCCTCTAGTAAGGTATTTATTCAAAAAGTATATTTAAAAATATTCCAAATCAGGAAACATGGACAAAATCCTCTAAAATCCAAATGATTTTTAAAAAATTTAAAGATCAATGAAAAGCGGGGGTAGGGGATAAGAGGATAAAATAGAGCCAGACAAATTGAAATATGTAATAAAAGATGTATAAAAAAAATTTCCTTGCTCAATTAATGAAGGACATAATTTAAAAGAAAAAAAAAAAATGCAAAAACAAAAAGGCAACAGTTATTTATATTTCTGTGATGAGGTATTGTAACTATTTATATTGTTGTCATCATCTTTATTGCTATATTCACAGCGTTTCAGCTGTTGTACACTCCGGCCTTCTTCAGGTGATTAAGGGGAATCAAGAAATATCACCTGAAAAAGGCTGGAGTGTACAATGGCCGAAACGTTGTGAATATGGCAATAAAGATAAGGACAACTGTCTGAACAATGTAAATAGTGTAAATGGTAACAGTTGTGTCCATCTTTATTGGGGTATCTGAAATCTCAAAATGCCTTGCAAAAAATGGCTGGAACCACTGGAGATTTGAGTAAGAGATACCATCCAGATGGCAATGTTACTGAAAACAGCAAGAATGTCAAAGTATTGGTGAGTGTGTCATGTGAAAAGTTAATGAGTGCACAAATAATAATTGAACAAACCTTTATAAAATGTTGGATGATGTTTTCAGTGGCTTTATCAGCAATGTTGAGCAGTAGGTATCTGTAAGTATAAAGATACTTTTGTTTTTAAATGAAGCTTCACAATAATGATTAATTTAGAAAAAATGTGTATCTATAAAATCAGGAATATTAAGGATTTATTATTGGAAGAAAAGAATGTGCAATAATAACAAACTGATAATGACATCAACCTGAAATTACTTCCCTTGCTAATCCATCTTTATGAAGTTACCAGAGGGTAGCTAAGAAAGAATTCTTTTGCATATATATATATATATATATATATATATATATATATATATAACACAGCTAAAAATAGTCACGAGTTAAATTCATGAACAAAATTCAAATGGATAGAGATGTCAACTTAACAATCAATAATAAAAATTTTTTTTAAAAATAAAAAAGATTAATAGAAGTAAACTTATATTTTAAAATACAATTTTATTCTTTTAATGTACTTTGTATGAATATTTTTTCTAATCAACTATTTCATAGAAAATCCCCAAAATTTTTAGAAAAATTTAAATCACTAACAAACATCAAATTAAATTCTTTGTAGACAGTTTAGACTTTCAAATTTATATCAAACATTATAATCTTTATGACCCCCCAAAATAACACTTTCAAAGTAAAGCAAAATAACAGCGTCTTTTTAGAGTCTGTTCTTTCCAAAGAATATTAGTGACACCTTCTCTCATGACTTCCTTCTCTCTTTCTTTTTATGTCTTTTTTTTCTCCTCTACCCCTTCTATATAAATATATAACTTCCATTAAGTTAACCGTTTAAATGTGTCAATGTCTGGACCTCCTCAAGTAATTTAAAGTATGAAAGAATAGAAATATTAAATTACATCTAACTCACTCATGTCTTCTCTCTCCCCCCTCACTTTGTTAATTTACATATGCTTAATACGGCCTGTCAAAAATGTGTAAATTTCTTTTCATTTTTCGCTTCAACCTTTGGAAGTAAAGTCTGATGATCCGCAGTCCTTTAAAAGCGCTGAAAATTTATTACATAGACCCTTAAAATGGTCTGATTTTATTTTAAAAAATAAATATATATATATATATATATATATATATATATATATATATATATATATGATGATGTTTACTATTTACAAGCATGCCCAAGAATCACTCAAGGTAGTAGGTTACAGAGAAGAGAGGCATAGTTTATGAAGGATATGTGGGGAAGTTAACGGTTGACCCTAGATTTGAACAGGTTAAGATTGTAGTGATCAGGGAAACATCCTATTGGGAGTCAGTTCCACAAAGTATGCTGTTATATAAACATTTATAGACAATAGTTAAAAGTATTTGTGCTCTATCAGATAAACTTTTGTGAACCACAAGTTATTAATTGTTTCATCGCACATCTCTCACCCAGACACTTACACCCACTTATGTGAGTTCATGTTAGAGTGATATGAGAAATATGATTGCCTCATATTCAAATGGATTAATCCTGCCTCTTCATAGGATTGGACAAGTTCTAAATTCCATCCTTATATCACAAATACATTGGAAACTTTTAGAACAGAAGGAAACATTCAGATTCATTTCTTGCATTGATTAATGATCTAATCTTCTTGAAGAAAGACTGGTGGGGAGATCCCCACACATTTTGTAAAAGAAGTGATTTTAATATGACAAAAAAAAAAAAAAAAAAAAATTGAATCAGTCATTCCCATGAAATTAGTAGTTTCAATTTTTATAAATAATAAAAAGTTACTTCCTGTGTAATTCTGTAATATCAAAAGTGTGTACAAATATTGTAACGCTTGCAAGCCTTACAATATTTGTGCACATTTTAACCCAGTGGCATCACCCCAGCAACACTTTTGTGTCTGCTGTTGGTTATAATCATGTATAGACTGTATTGAAATAAAAATTGTTTTAATGTTGGGATAGTACTCACATTTGAAGGATCTCTTCAATTTTGAGTAATTTAAACTATGGCATATACAGGTGATTGAAATGTAACTATTTTATGTATGAGCTATCAGCTAGGAGCCCCGACTTAACACCGTGCAACTATTTTGTTTGGGGTTGATTAAAGGAGCAAGTTCACTATACCAAACCAAAACTTTGGAATAACTTGAAGGGCAAATACAAGTTATGTCTTCCATAACATAAGAGTTCCCGGTGAAATCAGTTGACAATTTCTGTGTGGGAGAAGTGGGTAACAAAATCTGATGCCCATCTTGAATTTAAAATAATATCTCATACTAAACACTTTCTGTTAATGTCCATTTTTTGTAAAAATTATAATCATAAGTATTTTAAAATAGGGAGTTACTTTTCAATCATCCTCTATATTGGCCTACCTACTGCCTATAGAATGATAATTGACAGACGAAATAGTTTTGATGACGTCATTGAAGACTGCTAGCAAAAAAAAGCAAGAAAAGTTACTTTGTAGAAAGTTGTAATTTTCATATCAGAAATAAAGATGCTCCTAAATTTTTTTTTTTTTTTACACTTTTTTCCCCTAAATGCCATTTTTACCTTTTTAACTGTTACTGATAAAGTTTAAGTATGTTTGGTGTGTATTTAAAGCATGCTATATTTATACATATATAATTAGACAATTTGATATGTGAATGTTATAATGGAACACAAAATAGTTTTATGTATTTTTATGCGGGACGAGGAGTGGGCTGCCCTGGATGGCACACACACTCTAGCTATGCCACTGCTTAAACCACAGAGACCTTAGTGATAATTTATATGAATTCTTCTGCAAAGACTTGACATGAATCTAAATAGCATCCTATCCACTGATCAGATAACAAAAAAAAAAAAAAAACACATGCCAACATTCAGGTTTTTGAAGGAGGTGAAAAAAATATACTTACTCAAAATGTTCAGGAAAGTTTGGACGGATGAAACGGGCTTCCACATCTTGTCTTATACAGACAATGTGTGTGATTCCTTGTTCTTTGAGGGTTTCATACTGAAAAATAAAGACATTTCTTAGAGCACTTGCTACACTTTAGTATTTTGGTCACTTGCAGGGGAGAAAGGTAACCTATCTCATAAAGAGTGAGTGGGGAGAAAGTGTCACCTTTGTCACTCGTGTATAGGCTTACTCTAATCCCCACGCTTCAAACTGGGAAAGTTCAGTTTTTATTATACATTTAGTTTTACACAAAAACAAAAATGCTTTTATCCCCAGGCCAGATCACTTAAACTGGGATGTATGGTTAAGTCTATTCAAAGGGAAGAGAAAGAGTATCTATCATCTATGAAAGAGAAATAGCATCTTAAGACACTTACTTTGTTTTTCATAGCAGCTGCATAAGGACCAAGGTACAATCCTGGCACAATCTCCTACAAAAGAAATTTCATTACAAATACTTGTTTCATACAGAAGAAATGGACTGCATGTGTGTGAAAAACTATCAGAGAGTGAGAGAGACAAATTATAATATTTTAATTAATTATAATACATTGACAGTCATAGGCCAATTGCAGTTGAAATTAAAGTCATTGTAAACTCCATCTAGTTGATGGCTGCATAGTATATACTATGCCAAGGCTGGATACAGTTTTGAATTCAGAGTTGTCCTTCTCCTAGACTGGTTGTCAACCATGGCTAGAAAGCCCAGTCAACTTTGCTATTTAAGCCATAACTGGGCACAGAAGTAATAGATATTAAAACTTTGGAAAATAAAATCTTGAGTATGTTTTGAGGATTTTCAACATTCTCACTTTCCTCTTTCATATGCTATCAATTAAATATTATTTATTCCTTTATATTTGTTTATCTTACAGCATTTATTAAACTGAACATTTTCTTCCAAAACATTGATTAATCTATAACTTAACTGCTATTGCTGTTTTAATTCAAATACTCAATGTAATTTTCATTTATTGAACCTTAAATTTTGTATCAGTAATAAGAAACTTGACAGCTCAGCAATTCAAGGTTTTAAGGGTAAATTGGAAAACAAAAGCCTTTTCAATTTTGGCAATCAATGTCAATCCATGAGGGTCACTCAAAAAAAAAAAAAAAAAATAAAAAAAAAAAAAAATTTAATTATTTATTTAATTATGTTATCCCATGACATGAGAGGCGAATGTTGATTGTATGACAGTAGAGATTGAACCTTCCCCACTAATAACCCATCATTTTCCACTTTGATGCAGATAGTTGAGTGGCAGTATGGTAAAATGACATTTGTCATGAAAGGGCATACAATTACAAAGCAGAAATATCATTGAATTCCTCAACAAAGAAAAAAATGATATTCATTGACACTTGCTGAAGGTCTACTGGTATCTAAAAGTGAGTTAGGTAGTGGGTATTTCAGCAGTAGTGGCAATGATGAGTATAACAAGCCACATTCAGGCCAATGATAGATGGACTATACAGACATTTTCCTAAAATCATTGCTTTCATACAAAGAAATAAGATCAAGTAATGTCTGTTAAGAGAATCTATTTTTATGAATGAAACTTCTCCAAGTTTGCAGTTATTTAGATAAAAGATTTCAAAGAACTCTTTGATATGATCAGATGACCTTACAAGTGGAGGTCTTTCGTTCAAGTATTCATATTCACTGGTTGATGCCAAAATGAAACAAGTTGGCTGGCGAAGTCAGTGATTGTAGAAATCGGCTTTACTACAATTTGCTGACCTGAGATGTGAACTATACCACGAAAACCCAGTAACTCCCCACTGAAGTTATTTTGAAGTATTTCTAACTTCTTACCTGTAAACTTTTAGTTTTCTTTTCCTTTTTTTGCCACTGACCATAATCACAAAAATTGTTTTTTGTTTGCTATAAAACTTGATCTTGTTGTCGTTCCCTTTACCTCTCTTTATCTTATTTCTTTGTTGCACATATAACACTGACCTAGCATGTTAGCACAAGGGGAAGCAGACATAGGATGCTTGTACTTTTTGCAAGTCACCATATTGTTAGAAGTGAGAATGCAAGTAAGCTGATGTGCACACATTAGCCTGCTATGTAAGCCAATCACTTTACCTAATAAAAAGCAAGTGAGGTACTCTACTTTTCAGTTTGGTATTGTGAGATTATGTCACCCAGTAAAGGGAGAACAAGTCTTGTAGAGAAGCAATAAATAGTGATGCCAATAGTTACATGGCTTTCAGCCAGAAGAACAGCTATCAGTTTTTTTTTTTTTTGTATCTCCCCACACTTCCTCTGAGCAACAAGATATTCTTTTAAAATGTGACTTTCACAATTTTATGGAGACAAATGTTCTTTAGTGAGAGTTGTTTTTGTTCCCCCTCTTTTAACTCCTTCCCTGCCAATTATTTTGGGAAAAATGTTTCATTTTTTTTATTTTTTTTTTTTATTTGTTTTTCATATATTAACTAAGTAACTGAGGTACTTTTAAGAAACCTGAGCAGTGGCTAACACCTCTACCAGACATGTGAATTGACAACTGGACACATTTCAAACTCAGAAGGGCATAAAAAGGATCAAGATCATCATATAAACACATCTGCAGCTAGTTTTTGAACATCACGTTTTGGACATGTATATTAGTCAATGTATAATGTATATTAGTCAATGTATAATGTATATTAGTCAATGTATAATGTATATTAGTCAATGTATAATGTATATTAGTCAATGTATAATGATCAACTTTATATTAAAATGTATAATGTATATTAGTCAATGTATAATGTATATTAGTCAATGTATAATGTATATTAGTCAATGTATAATGTATATTACACTAATGGGAATGTCTGAAAAACACTTTTTGGTAAAATGTAATGCAATCTACACTAGGGAAGACAATTTCACAATTTCACTTTAATCATTATCCATCCATTGTGGCTTAATTAAAATATTTTTAAAATAAAATTTGACAATATTCTTGATGGGAGTAAAATTACTACCAAAACAATTTTGCAAGTTATTTTAATAAAAATAAAATAGAAAATATAAGTAAGATAATAAAATTTACATACAGTGTAACCCGGATATAAGAGAGTTGTCGGGACCGGAGAATAAGTCTCTTATATCCGGGTTTCTCTTATATCCGGGTTTGGTCTATTTTGTTTAGGTAAGTAAGGCTCTAATTTGGGACCAGAAAAATCTCTTATATCCGGGCCTCTTATATCCAGGTTACACTGTATTTATAAAAGCATTAACCAGTAACCAACACTGTAAAGTAATTGGCCATGGTTAAATGTAAATGTCAGAACTTCCCAACAAACAGAATTGACAAAGTTTGCAATAAATAATAAAAAGGGAAAGAAAAGAGGGCAAAAGATAATATAAAGCAAGCAAACAATATATGCAAAGCAACAGTAATATGGCAAGAAAATTCACCAACTAAGAATTGGTGTTGACACACAAGAGTGAATTTGGATAAATGAACACAGTGTTCTGGCTTCAAGACAAGACAGACTGGTACTGAGTCAGAGGAGACCATGAAGTGGCCTATCTTATTGAAATCCCAACATCTGTGTGGTTTTGCCTATAAATTGGGGAGGGGAAAGTATTCTGCAATCATTTCCATTACAGGATTAGAACCAACATTTACATTTCTTTTCAAAGTAAATTCAAAGTTTCAGGTCTATAAAATTTTTAAAAAATTTATTATTCAAATTTGGGAAAAAAAAAAAAAAAAAAAAAATAACGAACAAACAAACAAAACAAACAAACAAAGAAAAAATGGATATTAAAAAACAATAAATAAATCAATAAATTAAAAATAGAATAAAAAAATATTTTTTTCTTGATGTATTTAAAATTTCCTGAATCTTTGCAAGATTCAGGAAATTTTAAATACATCAAAAGATCTTAGCAGAAAGTATTAATCAAAAAGCAAATCTTTCATATTTTCAATCAAATTTCTATAAATTTGAAACTGTTTGCTTTTTTTAATAATTTTTCATAAATATGAGTTTATTCATGATTACATCTGAACAATAAGGATTCCAAGAAAAAAAAAGATTGTCTACCTGCATCTCTCGTCGCATGTAGTAAGACCAGTCCTTTAAAAAAAAAAAAAAAAAAAAAAAAAAATTTAAAAAACATTATTCAAATTTCTAATTCTCAATGAACAATGAAATAAAAAAAAACTAAAGTAAATATTTTATAATGAAATAAGAAATCTTTTTTCCAACCAGTTTTGTTAGAAAAACAATTTGATTAAAAATAAACATTTGTAGTGATGTCTTCATCAACAAGAAAAAAAAAAAAAAAAAAGTACAAGATTCTCTAGCCCAGAAAGAACATGTGGGATTGGGAATACAAACATTATCCTGTACCGAATGTATTAGATTGATTAGTACAGTAGTGAAAATTTGAGCTGTACACCTAAAGGAACAGGCTAGGTTGAAGGGGGGAGTGGGTGAAAATAAAATAAAAAATAAAGAAGTCTTTCAAACTGTATCTCTTCTAAGCAAAGATATTTTTCCAAATTACTTGCCCAAATTTCATTCAAACTTATGATTAAATATCTATATTTTCTAAATTACTGTGATAAAGGTTTCATAATTCTATATATTATTTCAGCTATTGCATTCATCTTATTAATTACTAGCAGTATAACCTGTCTTCAACCAGGTGTTTCATTACTGGGAATTTTTGCCATTCAATTGAAGCAGTTTAAGTTTCAAGTCAGCCCACCTCAAAATCAATATTAGTAACAACAACAATTGGGTGCAACTGAGGCACATCCCCAAATGGGGGCGAGAGGTTAACAATTTGAAGTGGGTGCTGAAAAGGGCCGTTTTTGTGTTCTCAATCTTGCAAGGAAGGAACCTCTTCCATGGACTGTCATAATAATATATGATAATTTTTATTTATAATATAATTTTTTTTTTATAAATCTCATCTTTTGCGTTAAATTTCAACTCTCTAAATTGATTGTATGTTTTTTTTTTTGTTTTTTTTTACAGACAAAATTTTGCCTTTGACTCTTGCACAAAGTGTAAAAAATCAGTTTTTTTTTTTAGTTTTTTTATTTTTTACCTTCAATGTTGTAATTTTTTCCCCCAGCCAATTTGGACTCAAAACCAGCACTGAAGAATTATCTATCAAACAAAAAAAATTTCATTGAAATCGGATGAAAACTGTGGAACCATAAACAACATCTGATCACACATATATACGCACATTTTGAGAATTATAGATATAGAGATCATTGGTTGTCAAGGTCCGGTATTAGTAACAAGAGCAACAGAATAGGACAAGTGAGGTTGAAACCTGTTTGACAGCAGGTGTGGAAAGGCTTAACCAATTAAGTGAGGAAGCCTGCAATTTTTGTCATCCTATGGTTTCTAAGATGGAAATTACTGGTGCCCTCCGACCCATCAACATTTCTTATAACAGAAGTTAACTAGAATATTCCAATCTTAATGCCAAGAAAATGTACAGAGGAAGAAAATAAAATGTACTAGCTAAGCAAATTTTAAACACTGAATATAACATTTCTGAAGAAGAATAGAGATTGTATTGGCTAGAGTGTTATGCTAAATAAAAATTGATGAAAATTCAAATAGTAGATGATAAGGAATAGTGAGAAGGCTTCAAATGAATGTATTGGTATAATAATAATAATAATAATAATAATAATAATAAAATTAACAAGAACAAAGATGAAGTTAATGATGCAAAAATTCTGAAGTCATTTCTACAGAACTTTTCAGAAAATCAAGCTGAATTATAGTTAAAAAAAGAAAAAAGGGAATCAATAGATTCGCTCTGAAGATTTTGTTTTAATCATTGTTGCTATAAAGATCTTTCCTTAAAAGGAACCCAACAATGCAGATTGACAATATTTGCCTATGTATAAGAATATTCCCAAAGGGTATTTTTGAGTTGATGACACATCCTGGCTCCTTAACTTGGTGGTTCCCCATCGGTGTGGTGTGCCTCATAGATATGGCAGAAGAGGATAGAGTTTGAGGTGGAATGATTGAAAGATTTAGAAACAATTTGAAAAAATTCATATGCCAAAAATAAATATTTCAAAATTTAAAATATTATTTTATGGATTACTTGAATCCCAGTATAAATAGTTATAAATAATTATTGACTGATTTTATCATTGTGATATTTTTGCATCATATCAAATATCAAGAATATAGTAACTAGTCTGCAAATTAGAAGAGAGTTATCAATGATAATGTTCTGACTTTGAATCCAGTTATCTCCCTTTAATTCTTTTTTTTCTTTTTTTTTTTTTTTTAAATAAACTTTTTATCACATTACATTTGGTGAGATGTGAGCAAATTTTCATTCTGAAAATGCAGCCCAGAGGAAAAAATGTTTGGAAAGCACCATCTTAACTGAACAGTTAAAGCCTTCGGTATTCACTTTCCTCCTGACAAAAAAAAACAAAAAAACAAACATCTATTAAGATAAATACTACATGATAAATATTGTAATTTACCAGATTTTGTTATTTTTCTACCAATGGACCCATAATTTTTTCAAAACTAATTTTTTTTTACCCTTATCTGAATTATATTTTGTGACTTATTTTTTCTACATTTTTCTATCATCAACATATAAAAGAAATAAATTTAGAACAAAAAATAAAATTTGGTGGGTAACTGCTATTTTTCCAAGTGGGCCCTTTTTTTATTAGAAAGCTTTCAGATGATAGGAATGATGACAACAAAACTGACAGAAATGTTTCTTCAAACCCTTCAGTGATAAATGAAAAGTATTATCCCAAGGATAAGTCTGAAATTTGGTCTTCTAAACCAATTGAAAGGGCACAACGAAGAACTCCATCCTACAATCCAGTAATTATTACTGTTAAAAATAAATCAATAAAAAAGACACACATTATATATATATATATATATATATATATATATATATATAAAAATAAATAATGAGAATATTTATGAGGTAGTATTTGTTATTTTACAGTAGAGGTATAATTTTAAGCCATTATCACTTTGAGTTGACAGCATACCAAGAAGAGTTGAGGTGTTATTTCTTTTTCATATATAAATTCAATTATGGTTCAGTTTGATTTATTCATAAGATCTATTAATTTGGTATTGCATAGATACATTAGTGAAAGCCTTAAGAATTTTGGAGGAAGATATTTTGAAATCTGCAAGATTCTAAGAATTCTAAAAAGAGGCATGCCAAAACAGGGATAATTAAGAGAATCCATAGATAGCCCGAATTTTTGTTTCTAAAAAACATTACTAAATGTGAAAAAAAAAAAAAAAAATTGCTTAGTACAAAGTTGACTATATATATATATATATTTTACTTTCTTGGTCTGTAGGTAGAGACTTATTTTTTATTTTATGGGGATAGTTGTATGAAAATACTGCCATATTTGGTAACCTAAGAATTTCAAATCACACCCTGTATTCAGTTCATGGGAGTAAATTATTTTTATTCCAATGTCCCTTTTAAGGTATATAATGGACCATTCCCTTACTATTTTTCTTAAAAAGATTGGTTAAATTTATTACATGTATTCTGTTATATTTACATAATGAAAGTTCAGAATTCACAACTTAAGCAAAAGCCACTGAAGCATTTACACAATTAGTTCTTTATTATGTTTCTTACAATAACTGTGCTTATGGCTATACCACATTGAAACTTGGGTTCTCATACAATTACAGAAATTAAGCAACGTTGTCTGGTTAGTATGGAGATGGTTGACAGCTTGGTGTAATGGATAATGGCTCAGAATTGGAAATCAGAGAGCAAAGTTTCAATTTCAGTCAGGTTTGTTATATTTACTAACACTCAAATACTCTCGGGAAAGGTGTGAATCTCCCCTTCCCCCCAGCTATTGGTTTAATTGGTAGGACTTGTATTAGTAAATCATTATCTCCCCAAAATTCTTACTCTAAAAAAAATATTTTCTGGTTTAAATAACCTGCAAAAAGGTTGATAAGTTGTAAAAAACACACACAAAAAACAACCAATCTTGTAATAAATTGTTTTTAAAAAGATTTCCTTGTCTTTACTTTTGATATAAAATTGCTAAAATGGAAAAAGAGCTCTAATTTATACATTGTAGATTCCAAAACTCAACTTAAACAGAAGCTACTGATGAACTATTTAGTAAATTCCTTTATCACTACATTTCCTATGTCTTTCCATTTTGTTTAATTACTCTGAAAATATCTTATTCTAGATTGCAGTTTCATTTGTTGAAGCCTTTTATATGAGGCACTCAGATACCTATCTACTTCTGTTGACAATCTTTTTCTTTCAAGTGGGGTTTCCATTGCCTGTCAGTTTTGTTAGATAAAATTTTAACCTGAAAAGAAAATTAGCAAATAGCGATTCCTCTAATGTCAAGAGTTATCAATGAATCATAGATACCATCGTCTAAGAAAGATTATTTTTTTTCAAATAAACATAGCTTGTATCTACACTATGTGTATAATCCTATAGACTGCTACAAAAGTTGAATTTAAAATTAACACTGATAAATATTTTTGATCAAAAGGTTAAAGGAAATTCTACTATTAAGATTATTATTAATTTTATACTATCTAATAACTAAAGGCATAATATGAAAGACATATATAGTGTACCAGTGCTGTCAAAAATAAAGTGATTTACAAGTGATGCACAGTAGAGTAATGGATTCTGGCTCAGATTTGAGGAATTGCAGAGCCAAATTCAAATTCCAGTAGAGTTCATTACATCGACTTTCATGCCAAAAACCTTGGAAACAGTAGCAATCTCACTTCCCCACCCAAGCTATGGGTAAATAGTAGGATAGATTGGGTTCTATAGCCTTCTGTGCCAACTGGTCCAGGAGAAAGAAAACTGAATTCAAAACTGTATGTATCCCTGGTGAAGCACATACCATGCAACTAAGGAAAGGATCATTTGTACCAATTCAATGATTCTGAATATGGTAGACTCCTTTACAATGGTGTGATTAAACGTTTCATCAACATTCATATGATAAAATAGACATTATAGGGCTAATGATAGGTACCCAGCATTAATCAGGATCTAATTTTGTCTAAATAGGAAAGTAACCACT